AGAAAAAATTGATGGTTATTGGAACCAAGGGCAGATTAAACCATACAACCAAGCCATGTTTTTTTGAAAGCCAAATTAATAGTTCTGGAGCATCCCAGACCCAGTATAAAGGAGGCGATGATCTATCTCGTGACCTGTCATTTCACATCTCTGCCCCTTGAGCTGCTACCATCCTTCTAGCAGTATAATGCACTCTTTTGCAAGAAATGAGGCTTACCACCATGAAATACCGGTGCTTTCAGTGCTTTCCTTCATCTGCCCCTTTTCACCACAGACTGTGATGAATTTCCTCTCTAGCAATCAGCCTTAAGAGCTAATTTGCAATTGAAAAAAAAAAAAAAAATACTTTTTTTATGCAGATCTAAAAATTGAGCTGCACACATCATAACCTGGTATGTTTATGAGCTGTGATTACGCACATGTTCCACTTAAGTAATGAATTTTATGTCTACCAGACAGCCTTTCAGAGCACTAAAAGGATTGTTGACACCGCTACAGCAATCTTATGCATCTCCTAAATGTACTGATTTGGGAACAAATTGTACTATACTCCAAATATATAGCCTTGTTTTTCTCAGAATTTTTTTACAATCCTTAACATATCAAATTCTACTAAATTTCAGTTTTATCATATCTCCTGAAACGGAGTCCTGTCTTCTGAGGTGCTTTAAAAATTACAAGTTCTGCAGGTAGCAGGACCGGGTTTTGGAATGCAGGAGGTATATACAAAAATTACGTAGATAAGGGAAATACGCACACATACAAAAAGGAAGATTCAGACATTTCCATTTACAGACTTACATTTTGAAAAATGTATACATATTCATAGGAAATTTTGCCTTCACTTTCCCTTCAATTTGCCATCTTGCCCAACAATCTTAATACATTAAGCAGTGAACGAAACTATTGAAAAACATCTTCAATTTAGAACACTGATACCTTTCAAAAACTGAATAACTCAAACTTTTACTTCTAGGCTGTTGCTTATTATTCAGCGCAATTTCTATAAAAATTTACTGAATTTCTGTAATCAAAGGTTCTTCATACTCACTCCCAAATAACAGGATATGAATAACCCTTTGATTTTAATTCAAGGTTTTGAAGAGACAGAATATACACAACCATACACAATTTAACTGGATACTCCCAAATATTACAAAGCATTTATGAGCAGTGTATGCAAATTAAATCCGGATTTGCACTTGAAAAATCACATTTGACCACATAATCAGATTTTTTCCAAGGTTTTTAAAAAAAAAAAAACAAACCCAAAAACAAAAGGAGGAGAGGAGAGCGAGAGAGATAATTAATTAGTTATATGTTGGGATGCATTCCCAAAAGATGCAGAATTCAGTCAAGCTATGTTTATGATGTAAGTTCTGAAAACAGCCCATTGTTTCCAAAAACACAGTAGCCTCTTTTGCAGAGGACAGAAAGGATCCAGGTCTCTAAAGAAGCTAAAACTGGAAATAATGAACACCGGATTTAGTATTTACTGAACTGCAGATGCACTTAGCCCTGTTTTCAGATATGCAAACATCAGATTGAGATCACTGGACAAAACTGCATTCCCCTATATTTCTTTCCTTTGCCTTTTTTCCACCTATCATTTCCCTTTTTAGTTTACTACTCTTTGCTGAAAAAGGTCACTGTTTGAAGTAATCACCCAACAATACAGGGTTTCCTACAAAAACATTTTCTTTATTTCAGACAAATGTCAGTCCTTAACTGTCTTAAGTACAATAATTCAGTGTAGAATTGGAAGACAATTATGACAACTTACCAGCTGAGGGTTTACCACTGAGAAATGATTCTGTAGGAAGAACACTTGCAAATCTCTTCTCAAAACAAACAAAAAAAATACTCAAAAGGATTGACGTCTTGAAAATACAACACTTAGTCCCCTAAACATATGCTGGATTTTTTCCTGCTATGCAAAGGAGAATAGGTTTGCAACACCGTAGTGGAATTAGTGTTTCCCTTTTAGGATACCCTCTTATGCCAGGTTTACAGCGGTACCGTTGGTCCAATCATATCCTCAGTCCTAAAAAAAGAGTGATTTTTTTTCCTATAGAGGTATTCAAATAATTTTTAGTAAGACCACACTTTATATAAAGAGCGAGCTTAGTATGAATTCCTCCATAGACTCCCCTCCTTGCTGCACCACACACTAAATATTGTACTGCACAAAAACACCCCCATCCCCAGCGGAGAGCTGTCAAAGAAACCACAGAAGTTTCCATTTCACCTTTGGCTTTATATATATATACAAATTTAGAAAAATTGAAGTATTTTTCTCTCAATGATGCTGCACTTGATACATCACTGGTGAAGAAAAAATATTGCCCTTCCTCCAAAAACCATGCAATAAGCCAAACCCAAGACTAGGGCTGGAAGCAAGTAGTGCTTTTTCTAGGCAATTCAACTGGGTGGCAGCATGGCAACAAATTCTCGGAATCGGATTAACCATGAGGACTGTCTAGGCAGTTAAATATGTTCATTTGATTGACGCTTCATCCTTGTGATGACATATCTAAATTAGTTCTTCCTACTTATAAAAAAAGATTTGATTTGAGCACAGGTTGGCGTGATAGGCAGAAATTAGACACCTGATCAAAAAAAGACTCATTTGATTTAGAACTCAGTATCCACTATATTACACAGTTTTCTCTGCCCAAATGCACCACGGATGTTCCCATTTTATTTTGTGATTTCATTTCAGTCTTAGGTCTTTTAAAAGCAGGAATTTTGCTTTTATGCAGAGAAAATATGAAGGATAATTTCCAGTTCCAAATATTTTTGGCTCAGAGACCAGAGCCTTTGTTGCTCTGAGGTAAAATAGTCTCAGCTGAAGAAAAGGAAAACGGAAATTGAGTGAAAGAGACCTTTACCAACAGCTACTGTTGACTTCCCTTTGAAGTCATCTTGATTGCTGTAGCATGCGTCAACTCTTCACCACCTACTTTGCTCATCCTAATGTTTAGGTGCAGCAGCAGGACTATATACAAACAACCGCAAGAACGGAAGTGAAGGTTAAATGGTATTTTCATATATTTCATCTTGCCAACCTGTTGCCCTCAGCAAATTCAGGCCAGAAGAAGAATGCTTGCAAGATTCCAACTATATTACTTTTCTGCTGATGGAGGTCATCCACTATCTTTGTATCTCACCTGTTTTCCCAGCTGAAAGCTGTTGGGCTTGCAGCTATTTTCATTCTCTACATTAAGCCCGGGCCCATTTCTAACACATCTGTTTGAGGATGAAGAGGCATAACTTCTGAATTTTGCTGACATACCCATCTTCTCAATTTCACAAATGCTGGAACACCATTTCTAATGAGTAATTAGCATAGTACTATAAAAACAAAATCTTCACAATTGGTCTGAAAGAGATTTAAGAACTGCCCATGCCTGACTACAGAGGTTAAATCTCTGTCTTCCTGTGGGAGAGCATTAATGAATGAGGTAAACAATACTAGCTCCCCTATTTATTTATAACATTAGCTTTTACTGAATACTTATCATAACATCATATTATAATACCATATCAAGACAATTAAACTTCCAAATCCTAATGGTAACATATCTTCCCCTTCTTTGCAGGGAATTAACAGGAAAATTTTCCAGTAAACATTGAATATTGCCAAGAAATGGAATGTATTTTATTTCAATTATTTCAACAGCTCTTGCATACCTTCTACTTCCCTTCATTACCAATACCGACTAATTGATCCCACAGCAATTGTTGCCACTTCATAGGAAGCAAGTGTCCCATGGTGTAAAATACTGAGCTAACATCACATCACTGCTTAGGAATTTACATAACCTACTAATTAAGTTCTGGAACTGTAAGTTAATTGCTGTAAAGGTCTTGAACACTGCTGTAAGAGTTTATGTATCTTGAAATAATACCCATCTCCCTCAAACCTCTGGTACAACCAGAAAAGATGTTTCCATTCCTGTTAGGAAATGCTCACCAGGAGTGAAACCAACAATGTGTTGATCCGACACAGCCCAGATCACTTCTCATTCTGCAAAGGGAGATTAAGAATGGCATTGATCTGATTTTCGTCTGTTACAGATCTTAAGACAGAAGTTGTTACCATGGCAGCTTTTATGAAAGCCTTCTTGACATTCTTCTATTAATTCTGGAGCTTGAATTTTCTAAGTTGTCCAGTGTCGAGGGTATAATATTAGCAAAATGAAACAATATAGTAATTTTTGACATCTCCCACATTCCTTACCAAGCTCAATGAAACGGCCAGTTAAGTACATGCAAAGGACCGTTGATAAACAGAGCTTGTAAGCTTTAGATATTGCAAATCAGCAACTGTTTACGAATGTTTCCATTATCTTGGAAGCTACACAAAATTGCACATTATCATGCATCAACAACCAAGCCACAAGTAATTAAAGCACGTAGTTTATACACAGGTATTAAGCAAGATTGGTTTGTTCACCCCATGTACGAGACATGGGTAATGCTTTTTTCCTTACTATTCAGCTTTGAACATTAGAAAGGTAAATCAACATCACCTGCAAAAAATAAAAAGTACTTTGTTCATCACCTTTGCAAAAGACATTCTCACCCCAAAAAGTCACTTGCTTGAAAAAGCTGCATGTAAATTACACAGCTGCTTTAGCAGTAATCTTGGTTTCATTAAATTTGGTGCAAATTTTACCACTGGTGTCAGTGAAAACAGCATTTTCTATGCTTGAAACAAAGATTAGGTGAAAGCAAGTGGTGAGACAGCCTTAATTTTTTGCATTTTCACCCAGAGCTTTGGACATTAGTCATAGCTACAATCTCACCTTTTCATTTAACTTGGGGTTTTTTTATAGATCTCAATTCAGCTGGTTAAAAACTAAGTCAGTTTTAAAATGTTAATATCAATTCTTGGCATTTATCCTTTTGCTATGCACTTTTGGTCCACAAACCACTATAGAAAAAAACCACCGCTCTGCAAGTAGAAAAACAAAGGCAAACTTCCCGAGCCTTACCTGCATCATAGTGACCACATGGCAGGGATTCAGGAGGTAAATGACAGTCCTGGTGGCAAACTTGAACCCCACCTCCAGCCCAAAGATGAGACAGACCACCACCAGCAGCACGTTCTTGCCCAAGCTCTCCTGCTTCGTCTGGGGCTGCTGCAGCAGGTGACCCTCCAGCTCCCTGCAATGCAGCCGCCTGAGCTTCCACAGGGACAGAAGGATCTCCACGACGCCCACGCTGAGGAAGACCAAACTCTCCAGAAGCTGCTGCTGCCCAGAGAGAAAGGCCGCGCACTCCGGCCCGCCATTGCCAGCGAAGCTGGGGTCCACACCCCCGTACATCCAGTCCAGGAGATTATGGAGGCTGTAACGAGACATGCTGGGACGGTGCCTCTTCTCCTCCCCGTCACTGTCCAGGAACAGGTAGGAGCAAGATGGAATCCAAGCCAAAATGCTGTCGGGCTGACGAAACATGAAACGCAAGGTCGGCCCCTCTGTAGTCCCCCTCCTACCCAAGCTTCAGGAGAAGCACCCCGCTCGGCTCGGGGCAAGGCGAATTTTTGGCTTTCCCTTTCGATGTCAGGACGGGTGCCGCCAGCAGCAGCCTGCCAGAAGGGAGGAGCC